GATTTCGTGAGCACATCAGCGATGTAGGATCCAGGAGGTCAGCAGGTGTCCTCCCTGAAGCTCAGGGCTCAGCAGAAGGCACTCTGGGGAGCTGTGGGTGCAGAGTGAATTCTGGAGATCAGGAGCCTGTGGCGGGGAAGGGCTGCAAACGCAGGGATCTGGGGACAGGCCTCCTTTCTGGGGGCACACATTCCAGATACCAGCAGCAGAGTGACCGAGGGACATGCAGTTGTGGGGAAGATGCCCAGGCAGTGATCATGAGGGGGTCTGGGAACCAGGGGTCCTCTAGCTGGGGCCAGGCTCTGAGCTGAAGACTTGGTAGAGTCAGCCCCCTTGCTGAGCAACCCCCCACCCGCCACCTTCGCTGCCCCCCCGGGGAGGCAGATGGGAGGTGGAGACTCTGATGTAGGAGGTGGTCCTGGCTCACCCCATCACATGGCCCCAAGGACAAAACTAGGACACGGTGGAGACAAGGAAGGGATGCCCATGGTACCACCCTGTCCCAAAGGCACATTCCCCCCACTCCTGAACATATGGAGAATTGGAGGAGGGACATCCCACAACCCACCTAGACCATCCTGGATTCCCCTTCCAAGCTCAGGGCAGCACCCAGGCTAGGATGCCTCCCTCCCTAGCTCACCACCTCTCCCAGAGCCACCTGGCACGGTCCTCTGGGTCCACGACAGTCCCGGGAAGTGACAGACCCAGGTCAGAAGCCCACTCTGCCCCATGAGTGTCCTTGAGTCAACTACCCAGCCTCTCTGAGCCTCAGTTTCCCCAAGGGCAATGCAGAGGCTTTTTTTAAGATTTTATTATTTATTCACGAGAGACACACACACACACAGAGGCAGAGACCCAGGCAGAGGGAGAAGCAGGCTCCATGCAGGGAGCCCAACGTGGGACTCGATCCCAGGACCCAGGATCACGCCCTGAGCCAAAAGCAGATGCTCGACCACTGAGCCACCCAGGGGCCCCCACAATGTGGAGACTTTAACACCTGCCTCCAAAGGTGGTGTGAGCACCGGGTGAGATCATGAAATGTCAAGGAGGAAAGAGTCTTCCTCCACCCTCTTCCATCCAGTGCTTGGGGCGGGGAAATGAAATGGGTAGAAGACAGCAAAAGAAAGATATTTATTCTCATATGTACACAGTCGCACACACCAACACGTGAGTGAAGGAAGCGGTCAGAACTGGGGGCTCACGTACCATCTTTCCGGGAGTGGGGGAGTGTAGGGGGGAGGCTGGGAGCACATCCGCCTCTTAGGAAAGAGAAATGGGCCTGTAGGAGAACAGATGGCACGCATGTGGGAGCTCATCTCTTATTCCAGTCAAGGCTTCTCAGCTTCTCGTGGCTGAGAGGAGTCAGTCTCCTCTGGTTGCAAAACGCCCAGGGAGATTTATGGCAGTTGAATTCTTTGGGAGGCTCTGCTTTGGGGCAGATAAGGAGAGTTCATAAAGAACACACACCAAGTAAAAACCCCAAAGCTCTTCACAGCGGTCTATTCTGGTTCCTTTCAGCAGCCTGCAAGACCCTTGGCACTCGGCAGATACCCAACTGGAGGCCCCTGTCAGGCCCTGTCCATGCCAACACGGCCAGGGGCTCTTTGCCCCACTTTTGGTCCTTTGCCCAATTCCCTACTCTCCCATCCAAACTCACCTGTCCCAGTCCCCTGCCACCATACCGTGTCCTCAGTGTGCTAAGCTAGTACACTAATCTGAAGTCTGGTTAAGAAGGCACAGCAGCTGGCTCCCCGCCTGGCACAGGCCCCTCTCGCGGGGGCCTCCCGTCCCTCTCCCTCGCTGGCCAATCAGCACCGCACCGCTATCATTCACTCACTCAACAAACACTGCTGGAGAGGCTTCTCCCTGCCAGGCCCTGGGCTGGACTGCTGAGTGGCATTGGTGGAGCAAACCAATCTCTGTCCCCGAGGAGTTCTGCTCAGTGAGCGAAGCAGACAGACAGACAGACAGACAGTTGAGCCTCTGCACAGGAGCCCACGAGAGCTCTAGGGGAGAGTGGGGCTGGCGAGCGCTGTGACTTGGGAGCCAGGAAGGAGCTGAGTCCCCAGAGGAATGGAGGAAGTGGGGCGGGGGGTGGGAATGAAGGAAGGATGGGAGGGGGAAGGAGGGGGGAGAGGAGGGGGAAGGAGGGATGGGGAGAGAGGGAGAGAGGGAGGGGGTGGGGAGGGAGGGAGGAGGAAGGGCGGCCCGGCAAGTGGGAGTCGGCTGGTCCCCGTGCACGTCCCGTGGCCCGTCTGAAGCCCCGCCCCCTCCGGCCCCGCCTCGCCGCTGATCGGAGCCCAGGAGCCGCCTCTTGCCCGAGAAGCTCCTTCCAGATCACCCCTTTCCCTCGTAATTGAGTTTAAATATTGATCCACCCCATCGAGGCAGGTTAATACTCAACCGAGCAGAGCTCTGCAGGCCTCCTGGCCCCCAGGCTCCCGTCCCTGGAAGGCAGGTGCCCGGGGCGACGAGGCCGGCTCGGGCCGGGGCCTCAGTCTCCCGCAGGCCCCGAGCGCCCCGCAAGGCCGCCTCCACGCGTGTGCCCGCAGCGGCGGCCCAGGACCCGCCCGGCCCGGGGCGAGGACCAGGTGAGGACGGAGGACACGGCGCTGGGGGAGCGTAAACCGACCCGGGAAAGGATGCAGAGGGGGAGCCCGTCCTGCTCGGGCCGCGCCGGCCGCCGGAGAACGCGTCGCCCCTCCCCGGGGATTCTGCGTTAGGCCCTCGGCTCCTGCCAGCTGGGTGCTCGCGAGTCCGTCTCCCAGGGCCTGCCCTTCCCGCTCACTCGGGCAGTCTCCAGCCTGCGGGACAGAGGCCCGGACACTGGGTGCCCCCCACCCAGCGCGGACGCTGTCGGTCTCCCGTGGGGACTGCCACAGTCGGGGACGTGGGGACAGCTGTGGCCCAGGACTTCCTGGACGTGGGGGGAGGAGCAGAGGTGGTGGCGCTGAACGTGGCTGCCGCCCGGAGGCCCCACTGCCTCCCCTGGAGGCCCAGTCACTGGGTTTCAGAACTGGAGTCCGCTTCCCTTACAGCCAGGATGGGAGGAGGGTCCCACAGCTGGCCCCACACCCCAGGTTCTGGGGGACATCAGGGGACTGTAACATTCCGTAGTCCCGGCCACCGCCACCCCCACCCTTAGCTCACCCCCACGTCTGCATCTTGGACGACTCATTTCCCGTCTTGGATACTTCTATAAGCGAGCAGGGTCCTCTCGCCAGTAAATAGCACCCACTGGGAACCAGTTAGAAATACATTCTCTCAAGTCCCCACTCCAACCTGCTGAGTTGGAAGCGGCTGGGAGACCCCGCAGGGCGTTCGAGAAGCCTCCTGGGTGATTCTGAGGCCCTCTGAGGGCCACAACACCCCGCCGTGCTGCCTAAAAATGGGGCATGGAGGAGAAATCCTCCTGGGAGCTTCATGCCCACAGCAGGGCCAGCGGAGTGTGCGGGCACAGACGGGCTTCCAGGGTGGCTCTGCTCCAGCCCGGGAAGGCAGCTGGGCCGCAGGCCGGGCCTAAGCACATCATGTAGCTGGTCCCCGCTACCTACTCCGAGCCCCCACAGTGTCACTCTCCTTTGGATCCTGGAAAACACCAAGCCATTTCCCACTTCAGAGCAACCCCTTCCCCCCACCCCCAGAAAGCCGCTCCTGAGCTTTGTGGGGAACCTCCTCCTGTGACCAGGCTCACGCTCACTGCTTCACATGCAGTCTCAAGGCAGGTGACATTCCCAGTTCACAGACGGAGAAGACAGGTTCGGGGAGGTTAAGGAGCTCGCTCTACCTGAGGTGGTTCCAGGATTCCAGCGCTCACCAGGCACATCCCGCGCACAGGCCAGAAGGGAGGAGAAGGGGACTTTACTGGAGTGTGGGCGGGGGGAGCCATGACCCCTGGGCCTGGGAGGGCAGGGAGAACACAGGCAGCAGGCACACGGGAGCAGCAGCCCTGGGTGGGCAGCACAGACGTTCCATTCCAACGGAGAGCTGGGGGCAGGTGAGCTTGGAAGAGGGCTGTGGTCTGGGGAGACAGGTGTCTGAGCAGGTAGGGGCTGGGAGAGAGCAGAGAAGCTGGTGGGTGGCTCCAGAGATTGCACCTTCGGTCCCTGAAGGTGACAAGGGGATATGTGCATATGTGCCCACCCCGCGTCCAGCATAGCTCACCCAGCTTCAGGGACTCAGGGCCTGTGGCAAGGGTGGCTACTAGCGAAAGGAGAAAGTTAGTGTCAGCAGAGCGTGGAAGAATTAGAACCCTCATTTGCTGCAGGCGGGACCACTGTGACCAGGTGACCCAGCAGCTCCACCTCTGCTGTATATACCCCAAAGCCAGGGCAAAGGCCCCAGTGGACATCTGCTCACCCGTGTTCACAGCAGCACTATTCACAACGGCCAAAAGGTGGAAGCACCCCAAGTGCCGCAGAGGATGACGGATAAACAAAATGTGGTGTCTACGTACAATGGAGTATTATCCAGCCTGAGAGAGGAGGGGCAGCCTGTCACATGCTGTGATGCGGAGGAGCCCGGAGGACACTATGTGGAGTGAAATAAGCCAGTCACAAAGGACAGATCCTGCGTGACTCTACTCATATGCGGTGCCCAGAACAGTCATATCCTAGAGACAGAGAACTGCAGTTACAGGAGCTGCGGTGAGGAGGGGGGATGGGTGGAGTTTTGGTTGAGGAAGATGAAAGAGGCCTTGGAGATGGTGAGGATGGTTGCACAATATGGGTGTCCTTGATGCCACTGGACGATGGTGGGAGCACCTGGGTGGCTCAGGGGTTGAGCGTCTGCCTTTGGTCAGGTCGTGATCCCCGGGTCCTGGAATCCAGTCCCGCATCAGGTTCCCCACAGGGAGCCTGTTTCTCCCTCTGCCCATGTCTGTGCCTCTCTCTGTGTCTCTCATGAATAAATAAATAAGATCTTAAAAAAATAGTTATGATGGTAAATTTCATGGTATTATGTATTTTACAATTTTTAAAAAGAGGCCTGAGCCACAGGTGTTTCTTACAAATGAGTTTTACTTGCATTCTGACCCAAGCACAGATCCCACATACAGATTTCTCATCTGCACAATGGTACAGTAACAAGTGCAAAATATGCTTTATTTCAGGTACAAAAACAATGTGGCAGTATGACAACTTCCCTCTTGATGCCCACCTCCCATGGCCCACCCGTCACACCCTCCTGACCCATCCAGGGCCCATACCACCGAGTAGTAGACTCCCACCACCTTTTGAGTCACCCAATCTAGAGAAGGCTGGGGAAGTTACATTTTAGGAAAGAATCACATTACATACATGAACATTAGAGGACACAGGAAACCAAGTTTTTACCTTACCCAGCAAGGGGAGGGCTGGGGGGAGAGGCACACAAAACAATCCCCTACTCTCTCTCTCTCTCTCACTCTTTTTTTTATTTTTTATTTATTTTTTTAAATTTTTTAAATTTATTTATGATAGTCACACAGAGAGAGAGAGAGAGAGGCAGAGACACAGGCAGAGGTAGAAGGAGGCTCCATGCACCGGGAGCCCGATGTGGGATTCGATCCTGGGTCTCCAGGATCGCGCCCTGGGCCAAAGGCAGGCGCCAAACTGTTGCACCACCTAGGGATCCCAAGCCCCAAGTTGGGGAGAGACATTACTTAAAAATATTTTTTTTAAAAAAGAAACTATTAAAACAAACAAACAAACAAAAACAGACAGCAGTGCAGGTTCCAGAAAATCGAAGACCCCACTAACTGTGAACTTAATAGGTAATAGGTCTTTATTAGACCCTCATTTGGAATTAAGAAATAAAAATATTAGCCCACTAAATTTTTGTAATTAAAATCGAGCCTGTCATCACTTGGCCCAGGGGAGTCACTTAGGTCTAGTGACTGACTGACTGACAAGACACCCTGAAGGCTGGTAGTTAGGAGACCAAAGGTCTAGTCCTGACTGTGTGTGACCCTGGGCAAATGATTCCATTTCCTTGAGACTAAGTTTCCTCAAAAAAGGAAATGACTGGTCCTGACTTCCCCTAGGACTAATGTGTGGAGTGAGACCATGCACCAAGAAAGGCTGCAGAACAGCAGAACATGACATGACCCAGTACTTGTGAGAAGGTTAAGGCAGAGATGGTAGGAGGAGTATAAAAATGGTAGAGATGGACATAGGCTGGGCTTTAAAAAGAACAAGAAAGAGGAAGAAGAAGGAAGACGAAGGAAGAAGAAAGAAGAAGAGGAGGAAGAGGAAGAAGAGGAAGGAGACGCAGAAGCAGAAGAAGAAAAGTCTTCCCAGTGACAGCCCCATGTCTCAGAAAAAAAGATCCAGTAGGAATCAGGGGCCTTTTAGCCAGGGTCAAATGGGCACCCACATGCAAAAGAACGAGGTTGGACCTCCACCTCATACCATATACAAAAGTTAACCTGAAATGAATCAAAGGCCACTGGAGAGCTAAAGCTGTAAAAATTCTTAGAAGGAAACAGAAGCATAAGTCTTGACCTTGGATTACACGATGGTTTTTGAGATATGACACGAAAAGCACAAGCAACAAAAGCATGTATCTTAGGTGTAATCAAAATTAAAAACTTTTGTGCGCCAAAGGATGTCTTAACAAAGTGAAGACAATCCACAGAATGGGAGAAAATTTTTACAGATCATGTATCTGATAAAGCACTGGCATCTAGAATATACAAAGAACTCATGCAACTCGGTAATAAAAAAAGACAAATGACCCAAACATAAATGGGCAAAGGATCTAAATAGGTTATTTCTCCAAAGAAGACATACGAATAGCCAATAAGCACATGAAAAAAATGCTCAACATCATTAGCTATCAGGGAAATGCAAATCAAAACCACAAGGAGATACCACTTCACATACACTAGAATGTTCTAATAAAAAACACAGAGAATTAGCAAGTGTTGGTGAGGATATGAGGGAACTGGAGCCCTTGTGCACAACTGGTGGGAATGCCTTGGAAAATATGGCAGTTCCTCAAAAAGTTAAACACAGAGTTCTATATGACCCAGGAATTCCACTCCTAGGTATACACCCAAAAGAAATGAAAACATATGTGTATGTAAAAACTTGTACAACTATGTTCATAGCAGCATCAGTCATACTAGCCAAGAAGTAGAAACAACTCATACGTCGATCAACTGGTGAGTGGTTAAACAAAATATGGTACGTATAGCCATAGAATGAAACATTATTCGGCTATAAAAAGAATTGAAGTGTGGACACATGTTCAACATGGAAGACCCTAGAAAACATTACGCTAGTAAAAAAACAAAGCCAGCAACAAAAGGCCACTGTGATTCCATTTACGTGATAGGTCCAGAATAGGTAAATCAATATGGAGGGACGCCTGGGTGGCTTAGTGGTTGAGCATCTGCCTTTGGCTCAGGGCATGGTCCCAGGGTCCCGGGATTGAGTCCCACATCAGGCTCCACTAGAGGAGGTTGCTTCTCCCTCTGCCTGTGTCTCTGCCTCTCTCTCTGTATCTCTCATGAATAAGTAAATAAAATCTTAAAAAAAATCAGTATGGAAAGGAGGATCATGGTTGCCTAAGACCAAGCTAGTTGTGAGGAGAGAGGGAAGATGATCACTAAAAGGAGTAGGGTTTCTTTTGGGGGTGGAGGGAAGGAAAATGTTCTCAAACTGAATGTGCTGATTCTGTGAATTCACTAAAAACCACAGAGTAGTATACTCTAGATGGGTACACTGCATGCTATGTGAATTTTATCTCAGTAAAGCTATTACCTGCTCCCCCACCCTCCCCCAAGACAGAAAAGGAATCAGGAGGCTGCTTTACTCTAGAGAAACACCACACCTGTCGTCCCAACATCATCATTACAAAAGCACCCTTTTTGCCCTCTGAAGTGATTTATATGATAAATATCTATCACTGCCCTATCACTACGTGGTATCGAGCAGGTGGCTCTGCCCCTCTCAGCTTTCAGTGTCATCTGTAAAACAAGGTCTACCCAGTTCTGATCATCTTTGACCCTAACACTATATTCCCCAAAAGCTCCACTTTAGAAGTTGTAAAATCCTGCTCAGCTGATCATACAGCCTCCCTGTGCTTTCGAAGATAAACCTAAGTTAGCTAAGAGTATGTAGATCACTGGGCCCCAGGAAACAGACACAAGACAAAGACAAATTCCTGAGCTTACCCGTACTCAAGTTTCCCCATAGTCAAGCCACTAAGAGAGACGATCCAACCATCCCAGTGCAAGCAAAATGCCCTAACACTCCCTCTATAAAATGAAAAAAGATAAACATTTAAATGGGGACCCTCACAGTAGAGACAAAGTTTGGCAGTGTTAATCAAGGTCTTCTCTAAATGAGACTTAGTTGGTTAAGTCCACGCACAAGAGCCCGCTACCATGACTATCAAGGTCATGTGACTGCACAGTGGGATGCTCATTTCCTAGTCCTCCTTACCCATGATTGCTGAGGAAATAAAATCATATGAAAGGAGCTCAAGAAAAAAAAAACATTTTGTTCTCATCCCTTTTACACTTGTGAGAATGTACCAGAAAATAGTTACTCCATCCTCTCCCTCTCCCTCCCAAGGGCGTAGACCTAGGTATGTGTGGCAGGTCCTACACATGTGTTGTGGTGTCTACATGACCAACGCAGAGACAGGTGAGCCCATCTCTGGGCATTATGGCAACAGGTCCTTAGAAACAAGAGTCAAGGTGGAAGAAGCAGAAGGCACAGAATAAACCCCATTCCCATCGATCCATCCAAGAAACAGAAAGACAGACACTCATGAGGGCCGCTGAGAAGGGAAACCAACGTGAAGGTAGAATGGTGGCAAGTTACCCAGTCAACAGTCCTGGTCACCAGAGAAGATGACGGCTGACGGGAGGCAGGGCTTTCCCTGGAGGCAGGGGAGTAGTCAGAAGGATACAGTGGCACCAAGATACCCAGTGAACCAGCCTCCAACAAGGGACTGAGGGGTTTCAGAGAAGATGCCCTGCCATTTGCCTCTTTAGGATAGCAGGCAAAGAACAAGGAACTGCTCAAAAGCTGGAGGTCAAGAGGAAGGAGAGAGGAGCCATTGGCTTTCTGCGTGCCAGAGACCGCATCCACAGGTTCCCGCTGGTTACTGGTCCATGGCTGCCACAGACTGGGCCAAGTCCCTCCCAGTCACAGCTTGCCAGGTGAGGCCGAAGCTTACGGTGGTGCAGGTTCTACATCCAAAGGAATCCACGGTGCTGGGAGTGGGAGGCTCTGGCTTACACACTCTACTTCTGCTCAGAGGCCACACTTCAGGATGATGTGGTAGCCATCGTTGCTCTCGGCTGCCAAGGGAGACAAGGGCATTTTACAGGAAGAAAGGCCCGACGCCATAACCTTGGGGTGTTAGGGAGCGCATGGCCTTTGAGTACCAGCGGAAGTCCTGCCACCAATACTGGCTCCGAATACAACTGCAGAGAGCGCTAACAAACACAGGTATTTTAGCACATGCCTTCACATGCCTTCTGCCTTATTGAGTTTCTTTTTGGCAATGGGTCTTTCTACCGTAGCCCCAGGCCCAAGAACTAAAGGCTCTATAATATCCAAGAAAGCTTTGGAACCACACTGTGGTTCTCAGGGTATTACGGTCCCCAGCTCTCTGAAGGCAGTTACTGGCTAGATCCAGAACAAGGAGGACAGGAATGGCCCTGCCACCGTTCAGGGTCTCTGACCCAGTCATACAGGGCTTTCATTCTGATATACCCCATACATTCACCTGCCCTGGCCCTAAGGAAGGCTACAGCTAGTCTTTCCTTTCTCCTGGCACATGAGTTCCTTCTGAGACCTGTCCTCAGGTGGAAGCTTCATGTCCCGCCCCTCGCCCCATATCCCTGACACCCCACTAGGCCTGCAGGCTCAGCTGTTCTATTCCACACTTGCTCCTCCTGGAGACCTTCATTGTAGAAAAACCCAAGTGCATCTTACTTCTACTCAAGCACCGAGTTACGTCTACTCAAGCACCAGGAAAATCACATTGCCTGGCCAGGGTTTGCCTTTCAGAACTGACGTTGGAGCAGATCTCAATAGTCCTCACATTTCCAGGACCACGTTTCACCTTTTCCCCAGAGGATGTCCTCAGATAACGTTCTCTCAAGGGACCCACCATGCAGGCAGGGAGGCCGGCCCCACTCACCAGTTTGGGTGTCTCCTCACTCTACTACTCAGGGATGGGGCAGGAGGCACAGCCAACATACTTTAATTAAACAAGAAAAAAGGAGGGGGGCTTTACCTTTTAAGGTACTGAGGATAAAACGAGACTCATCTTGGAAATTCTGCACCATCTGAAAGGCAAAAGAGAGACCACGTCCCTTCGACAATGAGTTCATAATATGGAAAGCCTTGACCACACGGATCCCAGCCACTGTGTTTGTACAGATGCAGGAAGAGGGTCACACTTAACACTCACCAAGGAAACACAAAACAAGATAAATATATGAACTGATTATAGTTGTAAGTAACAAAAACTGAACATAAACGACAGAAAGGAGCCAGGAAGGGAAGCAAAATGTTAGTATTTACCACGGGACTCCACGTTTGCTTTCGTTTTCATTTTTCCTACTTTACTGGGTCCTCCTATCCCTATAATGGACACATTACAGGAGCATGTATGTGTACAACGGCAACAAGTTAAAAACTAAAGTGCTTTGAAAAAGGAAAAAAAAAACATCTTGGGAGTTAGCGGCCTCTGCATATCAGAGTCCTACGAGGACCAATATAAACACAGCGCCACTCCCTCCATCGGCCAAGTGGCAGGAATGGAAGGATTACCCAGCCGCCTCTCTGCAGGTTCCATTTTGATGAACTACCGGGTGACTTCAGACAAGTCGACCTTTTCCCTTCTGGGCTCCATGCCCCATCTATAAAATGGGGCTGCTTCCGTGACAAAAGAACAGAACCAGGATGCAGAATGTTAGGAATTGGCACCAGAACATCAGGAATCGGCACCCACGGCTGGTGGAGTGTTAATCTATACAACCACTTTACAAAGCTGTCCACGGGACCTACTACATTACTCCTCCAGCCCAGTGTTCTAGATAAACCCCCGCATGTGCCTAACTCAAAGCACACCTAAGAATGTTTCCAGCAACACTGTTAGGAACGGTAACTGCAGAGGCGCCTGGCTGGCTCAGTGTGAAGAGCATGCGACTCTTGATCTTGGGGCTGAGTCTGAGCCCATCAGGTACAGAGATTACTTACATAAAAACTTGAAAAAAAATAGTAACTGGAAACAGCCCCATGTCAATCAGTAATAATAGGAGCATGAATAAACTGTGACCTAATTCAGCATGCCAGTGGCCTCCGGCAGCATTTCAACATGTGTGACTCTCAAAAATATAAAGGGAAATGGAAGTCACAGAAAAACATGCTATTATTCCACCTCCATGAAATTTTAAATTAGGCAAAATTAAATGATATATTGAGGAGGAAAAGGGTACAATGAATACAACATTCAGAGCAGCAGGTGGAGGTGGTGTGGAAAAGGAAATTAGGGCACAAAGAGGCTTCTGACATAATACTTCATTAACCTGAGCGAAAGTATTGGGCACTTACCTCTTCCTTAAACTGTAAAAATAAGTTTTATAATTCTCCTTGCACACACATGCCATATTTCACAATATAAATGGAAGGAGTATTTCAAAAATACTTAAAGACATACCCACAACACACACGCTAGCTACCACAAAGCAAAACTCCTTTGCAAATTAAAAAAATGCAATCCACATTTATTGCCGCCTCTGGATTACTGCCCCAAATCCTGCAAATCTATGTACCTGAGGACCCCTGCCCCTCCCTGCCGGGCCTAATGATGCGTGAAGTACATTTATTCTATACTGCTGGCCTGCTCCCTCCTGGACTCTTGGCAGCCCAGCCACTTGGGCATGCAAAGCCCTACATGGAGCCCACACGGGCTTAATCAGTAACTCTCTTGTTTAATTAAGTGCCCTTGCACCTCAGGGGCCGGCTTTGCGGCTGGCCAGGCTGCCTCCACCGCTCCGGGCAACTAAGAACCAAAGGTTTCCAATTGATTCAGGGTTAAGAGGCAAGGAGACTTCGGAGAATAAGAATCGCCTACTTAGCTGAGGTAGCATTTCGGTTCTGTTCTCTGCTTCACTTGCTTAACTGCCCACTCTGGAGGGCCCAGGGCAAGCCGGGGAAGGGACTTCCCGCAGGGACCCGTGACGTTGCAAGGGTTCCGCACATTCTTGGCTTTCGTCTTCACAAAAGAAATTCGTGCCCAAGTGCAAAGTGACAACTTTCCTGTGCCATGCAGCAGCCCATTGTGCCGGTGTCTTAACCTCCCTGGCTATTCCCAAGGGAGTGCTTAGGTCAAGAACTCTGGGCTTCGTTTTGTCTGTGAGGTGGGGGCTGGAAAAACAGCTGTCTGAGATCTCAATGCAAGGATACAGAAGAAATTCTGAACTGGTGACAAAAACTAACAAGTGGCAGATAAATGTACAGCTGGAACTCTGATGTGTGTTTTGAGAATCCACACCTACACAGTGCTCAGGCACACGACGGATGCCAGCAAGCGTCCTCTGACAAAATCACATCAAAGCTAATATAAACTCCTCCAGGAAAAGAGTAAGGAAGAGAAGTGCCTTTCACATTTGCCTTCAGCTGTTTTATACTTCTTGACTTACACTAACTGAATTACTGGGTTGTTGTTTTTTTTTTAAGATTTTTTTATTTTTTATTTTTAGGTAATCTCTGCACCCAACATGGGGCTCGAACTCACAACCCCAAGATCAAGAGTCTCATGCTCCACCGACTGAACCAGCCAGGCACCTGGTGAATTACTTTTTAATTCAAGAAGAAGGAAACCACCACCGCTTTGCCAACTTTTAGGACCAAACTCCCATGAAATGGGGGACTTCCATTTAAGGGGCTCAGGCAATTGTAATGACAAGTGGCAATAGGATTATCACCAATAATGACAATATATGAAAACACAGAGACTGTTAGAAGCCTTACGTTTTATACACTGTCAAATTTAAAGATCTCTACAACACTTGCTCTCAAAAGTCAAAAGCACCAGCACTGTCAGTTACCAGCATCACACCGTTCCCTGGTGTCTCTCGGTGCCTGAGGCTGTTTTCTCTTTTCTCATTTTATCCTAACTACAACCTGTTCAGTGGGTTAATTATCCATTTTATAGATGCAGAAACAGGTTCAAAAGTGTTAAGTAAATCTGCCCAGGGTCACTCTACCCCTAGGAGTAAGGTCTGGGTGGGGACACAGGTCTGATTCCAGAGCCACATCTTCTCTACTTCCCTAGATGCCATTCATGTCCCACTTCATCTACGGTCCTCTACACAGATGCTCTCAGAGTTCCCACAATGGGCTTGCTGGGGTCTGCTGGGGGCTAAGGGGGCCACCCCTGTCCCATCAGCCCAGCTGTTTTCCTGAGGCCTCATTTCAGGGGAGGTGGACTAACCTGGCAGCTAGAAGCATGGGCTCTGGGCTCCCCCAGCGCTCCCCCCTACCTCCACCCCTTACGAGGTGTGCAACCTGGGGCAATTACTCAGCCTCTCTGCATCTCAGTTTCCTATCTGTGAAATGAGATTTCACCCAGTTCAGAGTGAGGCTGTCAGGATTACAAGAGTCACTACATGTGCATTTAGGACAGGAAGCAGTGGATAAATGCTGCCACTCCTGGCTATTATCAGCAAGAGGAGGATTCCAGGATAAAAGAAGCTTAAGAGACTCTGCTCTACAATGAGCAGGAATGCCTAAATGCAGCTGCAAACCCTCCCTAGCCAGGAGTGGGATCGGATCACTCTGCCCTCGGCCATCGGCTGCTGGTGTCCCGCACAGGTCTGTGCAGGCAAGGGCAGACCCAGGAAGGCTGTGGTACCTTCAGTGGTCAGCAGAGGAGGGCTCTGTCCTCCCATGTGACCTGTGTCCTCTCCATCATCCAGTCCATGGTCCATTCCACTGCCCCTGGGACCTGCAACCTTACACCCTGAGGGCAGGGGTGCAGTTTGCGCCATGGTTCCTACATGGCGCCTGGCCGGGGATGGGGGATGGAGTGGATACTAGACAGCCTCTCAGAGCCTCAGAACTCTCTCCACCTGCACTCAAGGGCAGCCAAGAGCATGTGGCACACAGCTGAAACCCGTTGGCCATCTTGGGGCATAAGTCCTCCTCCCCAAGCCCCAGAGGGGGCATTTCTGGCACCTGTTGCTGTGCCTCCCTACAGCCCGGAGCCCGGGGCCAGGAGCAGGGGTGGGGACAGCGCTCACCTCGTTGCTCACCACCACATGGATGCCTGTGGGGCCCTGCCGGTAGACTCGGTGGATGTGCTGCGGGGAGATGCTGTACAGGTTGGCGATCTTCTCAACCAGCTCCAAGGTGGTCAGCTCTTCCAAGAAGATGGCATGGTACACTGGAGGGCAAGGGACAGGGCCTTCTGTAGAACACACTCCTGCTCCTAAGGAGCCTGCCTACCCCTCATACCCAACTCCCAAATCAGTCACTCCGCTGTAAGGATGCTCATGCCCAGACTCATTCGATGGGATCTGGCTGCAACAGGCACAAAGCCTCTGCAGAGCCCAACCACAGGGGCAAAGCAGCCAGGCTATGGTTCTTCATTCCTGTATCAGTCTCTCTTGGGGGAATCTTACATAAAATCGGGAATTCTTGCATCCACCCCACACCCAATGACACCCGTGGAGGAGTGGAGGCTGGAGGAAGAACTGCTGGCAGAGCTCTGTATTTCTAATTAGCTTCTAGTGATTCTGATGTGCGGCCAGACGCACACCCTTGCAGGGGAGAGGAGAGACTCTGCATCCTTTCCGTGGCTTAGCGGGGATGCTGGATGGCTCCTGGGGGCAAAGCACAGGATTTAAGGATAACTGCTACTTCTTTTTAAATTTATTTAAAATAAATTAACACATAGTATATTATTAGTGTC